CATTCCGTGTTTGTTTCCACATCTGGAAACCTAGTAGTATTCCTACATTCGCGAAAACCAATCCAGGTCTTCCAGATTTCCGCATAGCTATTGTGGATGCGAGAGAAACTTTTGTACCTACATTACCGGAGGTGGTGTCATTATTCGAAAGCTCACCCTGGGATCCACCAGGAAAAACTATGGAGGGCCCTAATAAAATGTATCATAGGATTAGACATGGATACAGAAATGTTATCTTGGCAGTCAACGATCAGGGAATAATCAGCTATCTGAGGATGGGAGATTGCGCATTTGGGGAAGAAAAGTTGTATGAAAGGTTCGATGAGGGCAATTCACGAGGCAATAAGAGAGGCGGAAGACGTGGTAGAGGCGGCGGCAGAGGTAGAGGTAGAGGTAGAGGTGGAAAATAATTGTTCTAGAAGACGATGATGTATCCCTCACTAGAATTTGATGTATGATTAATGATGATCCAATGACATGATACGTGCCCTCAACAAACAAGTTGCGCAGGCTCCTTTCACTGCTTTTCACAAATTTAGAGAAATTTAGTTGCATCGTAATAGTAATTATGCGAGGATAATAATACAAAAAGAAAAGTATCTAGGTAGAACTATCGTTCATGTTGATAATCTCGCGGCTAATGCATACCTAGAGAGCTGATTACGTCAATGACGCTATGAACACGTCGCTAAGGTGAAAACTACAAAACTAATCCAAGTGGTGCCGAAAGTTTAATATTTTGAGGGCCGCTCGCATATAAGGAAGTGCCAATCTACGCAAGGAGATTTATTTAAAACCTCAATTCTAAGATTAAAAAAATGCATCAATTGAAATCGTGATTTGCACTCTCAATTCTACGGCGAATATTTTGTCACCTTATGATGCTCTATTGAACATTTCGTATCTTCTCCGGTATTAATTGGGTGCATGCAAGCTAATGATAGGGCTGTGAAGGAAGTCACAAACCGCAGATAGAATTGTGAATTTCTTAAACCAATGGCTGCTACATTATGATACTTCAAACGCAGGAGATAATTCATAAAGTAAACAAAGATACGATCGCTATTTGGCTATAGTACAAGTTGGAATCTCTTAAAGGGATGAGGAATTATGTGTGATGACCGAATCCTTGGTTTTAGTGGAAGTAGAAGTCTCAAAAAAGTCTCTCTAAACCGTTCGCAAGCACAAGCTGGTTGTTGATCCAAATGCCCATTGAATTTTTCGGGTGGGGATACCACAGTGTGTGAGAGGGTGTTAAAAGACTAAATGATTGAAGTTGGCAAGAAATATGTACTTCCTGTGAGATGCGATGCTATTGATGTTGGAGAGTCTTCATAAGTCGACATGCCTCGACCCAGAGTCTGACATTTTTTACTGTCTTTGAGTTCTGCCAGCCTTAGCTTTTCTTGCCATATCATTCTTGGAGAATCAGGCGAACTTTCTGGCAGTCAAATTTGAGTCTTGATCTTTCACGACAGCTTTCATTTTGATTTTTTTTCAACCTTTCCTACTAGACTGTCCTCGGTGGACTGGAAGAACTACCTAGTCAAGAAATCCCGATAGATCACTACGATCTGATGTTAGGAGATTGCTTATAACTATTTTTAGATTCTTCATTTGGTAATGTTTCGTATACAATCTATCAAGTTTGAGAGATATTTACTCATCATACAAACGCTCGCTTAAGTTGGGTACCCCACTTTCGGACCACCCCTCTTTTGAATCACCTAAATATATATACATATATATATATGAATTTTAAACTTTAATAACTCAACCACTATTCAACTTCAATACAATCCCCTGTAGTATCAGTTTTATAAGTACTATCAGAGTCTTCTTTATCAATTTCCCGATCACCAGCTTCAATTTGAGCTTGATATATAGCTTCTATTCCTACAAACCTCGAATTTGAACTAGTTCTTACCATCCTTCTTTTTTTAGGTATAATCTCTTCTAATTTTTGCTCCAATTGCTTTATTCGTTTCTTAGACTGTACAAGTTCATAGTCCTTAGCATCAAATCCTTTTTGAATCTTTCGAAAAAGCAACCAGCGAATTGGAATATCGGTCTCATCAACTTTTTCCATTATATCGGTATATCTTTGAATATTACTTCCTTCTTAAGGGTTTTCCACACAATAAAAGATGAATGTATATTTTATTGAAGCTCAGGATTATTATCTGAAACAGGATTTTGATATATAACCTTTTGATTACTGTTTTCGAGTAATAATCTGAATAAAAGAGGTTTAGCGCGGTTTTGAGGCCATAAACCTGAAGCCTTCCACTCGGAAGTGATATTTCGAAGTGTTAAAGCTTTTAATCTAGCTTTCTGATAGCAGGCAAGAAAGTTTCTCTCGCCAATGGGAGTGGAATCCGTCAATGAATCTAGAGTATTAAGATGGTATCGATATTCTTTTTTTAGAGATGAGAATATTGATAAATCAAGAGATTATAGTACATATGATATATAAGGTGATAGAAATAAGAGGTATATATTATTCTTGAAGCATTCAAGCATGAATTGAATGGATTCATAACTTCCGTGCCTATTCAAAACAAGGAGTCTTGCCTCTTCCGATCGAGTTGGTGCTGATTATAGTATAAACACCTCTTTTAGTCATTCCAAACCTATAGAATCTATAGTCCACTCATTATCTGTAGCAATAAACTCCCACCCTTTATTAAATATCAAGTTTAATAGAAAACTATTACTGTTGAAGTGTTTTACCTTTGAATATAACTAAAGATAAAAGTACTTTCCCTGTAGCTGAGATACACTCAATAAAAGAGGTCCACGTTCTTGAACCGGATTGCTTTTTTTGAATAAAACGTTGCTTTGAACTCCCAAAAACCATACCATTGAGACCCTGACCTTCCATTATACCAGCTTCATTCATATTCCATCTGTTTTCGAGCTTAATATACTTAATTGCTAGCAAATCAAGCTTTTCAAAGAACTTGCTTATAATTCCAGTAGTTGCACCATTGATACAAGCATTATCGATTTTATATTGCCTTTTAATCTTAATCTCTAGATTTCTTTTCAAAAAAACCATATATCCATCGCTTGCCAAGAGATAAATCACCTCCTTCGAAGTTGAGAATGGACTCTCCTAATTCTCGCATTTGACAATGGGTAGAGCTAGTTCCTAGGGCTTCCTATACTAAAATCCAATCTGCCAGAACTCCCTCCTACACAGGAGCTATCTTCTGTAAAGTTTGTACACCTTTTTTATATGAAAGGTAGCCATTTATACAATTGTATAAAGTAGTACAGGGAATACCATGTTCTGAGCAAGCCTTACACATAGACATGCCTCCTGCAATCGCAAAAAGTGCTATAGCAATATCATCTTCAGTATAAGGCTTTGTCATAGCTTAATTGATAATATAGTAGAATCTCATATCAATTGAATATGTGGTTGTTGATTTATTAAAGATGAAGTTGGAAGGTAGTGCTTAAAATGGGGTAAGATTTTAGGTGGTCCAAAAGAGGGGTGGTCCAAAAGAGGGGTGGTCCGAAAGTGGGGTACCCAACTTATTTGGGGCCTTGAAACGAAAGTATTTTGTGTTTAGTTACACACTATGACAGGGCTGACTGTGATTTGTATCTAATGGAATCTTATCATTTATTCTCAAGGGTTTTGCTCTAAAAACTTTCAGAAGCATAACTGTACATCAAGTTGGTTTGTCGACTTGAAGTCTCGTCAATTAGATTACTTGGTATACGGTTATGTGTATAATGGAAACTAGGTGTATAATATTCGATTACTACATTTCTTTTGCTTGATGGGACTGCTCCTCTATAGAAATCATCGAAAGTAGAAATCATGTAATCATACGAGTAGGTATTTAGTAACTATCTTGTTCTTAGCATGGAATTTTGTATCTGTAATATTTCTTTATTGAGTAATATATACAATCAACTAATGCTAAAAAAGCTCTTAGTGAACTCTTACACTTTTCTCTATATTCATCTATACTAAAGTGAATCAAAATATAAGAGAAAGCATACTGGGGGAAAGTCTACTGAGACTAACTGTATAGAGTATATCAAATCCCGAAGAAGAGTATTCTAAAATGATGGATTTCACGATTCATAAGAATCTGATCAAACGAGTCGTCAACTCCCACACAAAGATATAATTAAATTGATATCTTCAGAACTCATAGTAATTTTGTCAAACGAAGAATTTTCGCTCACAAAGGTGTGGGTGCAGGGATTTGTAAGGCTCCTGTCCTTATTTCTGAATTAGAGCCCGCCTGTATGTATGATTGTTATTCAACTCACCTGTGTAACTCAACCTATTTCCGATGGTCAGGGTCTTTCGGTCTGAACACTTGATTTGACAACTCATTCGGTGGTGATCCGATGGACCAGGACATCCGGGAGCCCCGAAAAAGGTGATTAGTATAAAAATTCTTCCCTGGGTAGGGAGCATTCTGATATCAAAAGAAATTCCATACACAATAAGAGGTATATGTAGAATAATTTTCTTCCAACTGTCCGTTCTTGTAATATCGCGAGACTTCATGTTACTTAGCTCGTTGAATCATAATTTCTCTTGGTAAGTTATTTTCAGACATTTCCTTCACACTTTTTCCTGAGACGAAGTCTTGCAGCGACTGATTTTTAGAGTGACAGATTAATCTCGTCTCAAAGTCATCGACTATTGGCCAAAAATCTCGAAGAGAAGATGGACAACAATAACAAAAGCTCAATTAGAAATACTGCTACTGGCCAATGCAGCCGCAAGACACTCAAAGAAAGAGATATCCTGATCGGCACCTGGTTGGGCTCCGCAGGATTTGGCCCCAATAGTGACGAGAATGTGGTTAGCGCAGAGATCAACGAGACCAGCATACTCAAATACGTTGTGCATAATCGAAAACACAAGGTGGCATTCTAGAGCACCCTTCTCCTATTACACAACAACATATTGATTGACAAAAGCCAACATTAGATGGTATCCTCACCTCAAGCCATTGAATGCCATGGAACGAAGGGAATATGTCAAAGTTCGAAATGGATACGAGTCAGGCTCCACAATCGAGCTTTCAGGTACAGATGACCTCAGAGCCTTTCGAAAAGCTCAAGGAATTTGTCGTGAATTTGAGTCTGTCGGTCTTGGGAGACATCAAGGAAAGCGAGTTCGATTCGAAAAAGAAAACTGGCTGGATTATGCATCAAATTCAGGAAGCAGCAAATCGGCTGTTATTCCGGTTTTTGAAAATGCAACAACCTGACCAATTATCCCAACACAACATCCAACAATCTCCCAGTTCCAAGCCCCTCGACAAAGCGAGATGATATTCCACGATGGATTTGAGTATACAAGAAGGTAAGATTACAATAGCATATTTCAGGGGAAGCATGTTTCATCGCCTAGTATCATACAGATGGCCAGCGAAGATTACCTCGAGTATATTGTTTTAATAAGAGCAAGCCCATTTTAAGAGAAATCCTGAGTGACAGAGATATAATGCTTGTATCACGAATAAATGTTATCCACTTTTCACAATCAAAATATCTAAAATTGCTATAGGATTGAAAACATTCTCCATGATTGATCTTCTCATATAATCTATCTCATCTTACCTCACGTGATAATGCTCAATTCTGCATTAACAAAACTTTAAAGAGCAAGGCTATCAAATTCAAACTGTCATTTGTAAAATTTTCACGATGTAAAATGGTGTGACTCGTTTTCTTCGGGATTACTGTATGTCTAATGGCTAAATGTCAAGGGAACGAAACAATTAATCCTTTCAGTAGCGAAAGAAAAACAAGCGATGTCGGTCTAATGACATCTCTATACAAACAAACTAATCATCATACGAATGAAACTTATTGGAAAACGATGTCAGAAAAATAATACGCTACAAATACAAGTATCGACTGTACCTTGTAATACAATCTCCAAATAAATTATTTCATAATAGAAGAGAATATTTTATTCAAACGCATTATACGATCATTGAATCAAAGAACTACTTGAATAAACAACGTCATTTGCAGGCGCATCTTTCGAAACATAACCTTGCTCTTCAATCTCGTAACCTGTCCAATCATCAAAAATACAAACAAAATATATATGAGTCAACGTTCACAGTAATTAAAGTTAAGAAATGATATTCTATCCCTCTGTCTTTTACTCAATAATAATTTTGTTGAGAACAAGGTTATTTATACTTATAACAGACTAACTGCTATTATTCTTATTTAAAGGCTGATAATTTTCAGCCGAAATTAGCGCCTAATACACGGCTACTTATACATGTATATTCATCTTTCAGCTATATATATGAATATATATTAGTACGAAGTTCATATTTGAGTAGCTTTCTAGTTCAAGTTTTACTCTTACTTCAAAACCAAGTATAAAGAGAGATTCAATTTTGAGATAATACAAGTACTACGAATAAGATTCAAATACGGCGTCGAATTATGGAAATGCTTTCAAGATTTCAAAGTAAGTTGAAATAGGTGCCCTTCCATCCTGACATGGGTTGAAATACGGTATGCAGGTAAGCGAGACTAGGCCTGCATCTACCATGACACCGCGATTAGTCAATCACACCCATCAATCATACTCAGGACCAATAAATGATTGACCGATTTGCACGGCCATGCAGTAGGGATTAACAAACGGAAATCGTTTCATCGCGTCTTTTCCACTCTCCTCTTGGTTTCCCTTCTTTTTTCTAATGTTTCCAGCTTTTTCATTATTCAATTCCCAGTATCATCTGAAGCAATTTTACGGAAGCTAATCGATGATAAACCATAAGGTTAAGGTTCATTTTGACACTGAAGTCACTCACGAATTTCCCTGTGAGTTCTTTTCCTGAATACAACTTCATACTAACCCTTCATCGCGTTGTTTTGTTTACCTCTCTTTTCTCCCTATATATGAACAATTTGGATAGCCTCTGAAGATTACTATCGTCCACAGTCAGCCTGTATCTGTCGCGTCAACTCCCAAAGTTAATCATTAGTTGTCTTGTGTATGTGTATACTCATTTGTTTGAAGGATATTACTGTGTTAGAATTACACTTTAAGTCTCGGAAAGCGGCGTTTTTTCGTGTCTGTTTGTACGGTTTGAACTGAACATCAACAATGCAAAGTTTGGGTCGATGCTAATGTCATTGATTCATAGTTCACTGAGATCCTAGACCCACCACAACATGAATGAACGACCACAGGAGGAAAGACAAATCGCAAAGTCGATGGCAATGAATAGTGATACTCACCAAATTATCACGAGTGTCCCTCATATTGTCAACCAGCCTAAGCCTTCTCAAGCTACCTCCGGTTCCAGTGACATTAAGTCTATCGATATTTCTTCAGATTCTGATGAGGAACCTAAAGAAGATAAAGAGGTAGAGAACAGATCTGCCAGACAAAGCACAGCCGAGGAAGTGATCACAGTTTCATCTTATCCGAAACGAAATCGTCCATCGGTCAATTACGATGAAGCCATCTGGAGCATCAATGTACCCAGTCCAAAGCGAACTAAGCTAGCGCCTACGCTGTCAATCCCAAAACTGCGTGGTGTTATTGTTGGTACTTGGAAAGACTCAGAGCAACTTGACGATCGCGACAAACATATCGTGCATGGATTTATCGATGATGGAGAACGACTTCGGTTTAGAATATATGGAACAAATCGTCAACACACCAAGTCTCTGGCCATTCCTCCCGGAGCCTACGGTTGCTGGGTCAAATTTCAAAACATCGCCTTTGATCCCTATCTAAGTACAAAGACTCCTGAACAGGTCAAAGACTACGTCATTTCCAAATCACAAGAGAACCAAAAACAATCAGATAGGCTTCCACGAGAATCCAGAGACGTTGACCATGATATTTCGACCAGAGTCAATGATATTCAATCATCGCCTAAACCTGAAATTCTCCTTGGATTCTGGGCGGACTCAAACCAAGTGGATGCCAAAGACAAACACGCAGTATTTGGTACTGTTGTCGTCAACAGCAACCATAAATTCAGATTCATGATCCGAAAATCTACTCGTGATGGACGTTTTGTGTCGGGTAATTTTCCGGTAGGCGCTGGGAACTATCAGGTCCAATACGAAAAGATTGTGCTCGAGGAGTATTTGTCTAATCTGAAGCGCTCGGAAGTTGAGCAGTATATTCTCATTCGCCAAAGAGAAATACTAGAAGGTGGCGATCGTGGTTCACGCAGCCAGCAACTCAACGCAGTCAAATTAGCCAAGGCTGCCGTAGCATCACAAAATCCGTCAAATCCAAGTCCCTCTGGCCACAATGTCTCTAATCCCGATCCCGCGACTGAACAATCTCTCAAACGCAAAGAGACATCGAGAATAAAGACAGCAGATAGAAATCAGCCGCTGGATCTGCAAGGATCAAATGATAAGTCTGCCGACGTCACCATGGGGGAGCAATCTGCTCCCCAAAGAAAATTGTCGGCTGAGCGACAACTTGTCAAGTCGATGAAGAAATTAAACAAAACATGGGAAGCTCAACGGGAAGCTCAACAGGAAGCGAGGACTCAACAGCCAGTCACCTCACCACGTCCAGAGCCTACTGCAAGCGGCAGCTCTTTGACCAACGATAATGTCAAGATACACGATGGCATCAAATACACGAGAAGACAGAATGGTATATTCGAGGGGAAACATGTTGGACCCCCGCAGCTTTTGAACATCGATGGAGAAGATTACGTCGAGTATCGGGTGTTGACAAAAGCAACTACTTTTTGAAGCAAAGTTAGTAACTAACAAATGTTTCTCTGTATATGACGAGGGATTGAAGGATTGCGAAGCTTGCCATTTCTTACATACTCTGGATTACTGTTTTCCTTGAAGTCATTTTTACTTGTTTGAATTTTGTTTCTGTGTATAGTTTCCTGATTCGATACAGCTTCAAAAAAAATCCTTCTTATGCTAGTATGTTTCCATCTTCGGATGCCTTTGGATGTAAAATAAGTTTTTCAATTGTTTTAATTTGTTGAAAATTAGTATCAAAGTATTGGTATTGGAATCAGAATAATCAAAAATGGATTTTGTGATTTCAACTTTTGAAATCACAGAATATATGAGAAGTATCTGTCGGGACATTGATCATGTGATCCAAGAGGGCACTGTATTAGCTAGCGTCGCGCTAGCGCTTCCCTATATTTAGTACTAGCTTTCCATAGATAATAAAGATCAAGAATAATACAACCACTATAGAACTAAGTACTTACACTTATCAACCAAGTTGATACTAATAGTATCAATCGCGATACAAAATTCTTTCTTCGATCTCAGATGGTGTTACTGGAATATTTATAATATAAAAAATGATAACACGATTATATCATTTTCCTCCGCTTCGATATAATCTAAATGTATAAGAATAATAACTACGTCTAGATTAATTTCAACTTTAATAACATCGAATTATATAGAGTAAAGATAGCAAAGTTGTATATTATAACTCAAAAGAAGTATCTAAGCGAAGCAGATATAACAAAATTTATTATTATTACTAGAATCGATTTAAACAAGAACAGCTCTGTTCTAACGACTATGAAGTTAAGGAAATTTGTTTAGTAAACAGTCTATTTAGAAAAAAGAACCTCTATAAAGCTGACTTCATATAAAATTCACTTAATAATCTTTAGAGTATAGCTTGAGAGCTGAGTATAAAGAACTTAAAGCTCGAATATACTTCATGACTATCTGAGCACGTAATCAGTAAATCTAATAACTACATGCGTATTATTACTTTAGATACTATAGTACTAAAGAGTGAGAGCAAATTCTACTATGACTCGTTATTAAGAGGAGCTCAAATCAGAAGTTAGACTATTATTATAGTGAATATATCGATCTGATTAAATTAACAAGGAAGTATTAATATAGATTAATTAACTTTTAACTATTAAAAAGAACATCGATATTATAATAACTTTATAAGTAAAGATTAAATAATATATTATAAGAGTAAAGATAGATCTTAAAAGATAAATAGTCTTATAGAGATCCTATATAGCTTTACTTATATTCATACTACTAGAATATATCGATGACGTCATACGATAGACTATTTTAAAATATAAAGAGAACTAGAGTAATTCAATATTACTAGTATCTAGAGATAAGAACTTCAATAGTATAAATTACTTATAACTTATTCTTAATATATAGTATAGATAGAAAATTTCTAGTTGCTATATGAAACTTATATAATGACTATACTAATTATATAAATACTATAAATAGTTGAGTAATATATCGATTTGAACAAGCATTTGTCAATGTGAGGTAGGTACTATCAAGGTTCCTTCTCATTTTCCATCTTGATTTACTAACTCCTCGCGCGCCTTCTCATTTTATCAAAATTCACTTAATGCTCTTCAAAGCTTGTTTCTTGTATTCTTATTACTATAATGGCTTTGAAGTCGCAATAATCTTTACTCGTATTATTACATTAGAGGATCATTGTTATAGAGAGTATTTTTCACACGCAAGAAAGTAAGTCCACCTGACCTCTATATATAATTCAACAAACACTATACAATACTGAGCTAGTCAACAAGCGTATGAGCTTGTTCGAACCGTATGAAAGTGAATATGAAGATGCTAGTGCATGATGTTATACAAAACTTGGTTTGATGACCGTACTACCGTCCGACAATCCTAAAAGAAATTGATTTCATTCGAACATTCTTCTCATATAAGTAAGAGTACATCAAGCTATTTATCAGTTCGAAGGAATTAACAAGTTTTCACTTTATTCCACATCTGACATTAACAACATCAGTTTACAATCAGATTCTCGCAACCCATTCATTCAATATTGAACAAATATTCTTCAAGTTTATCAAATACCAGCAAACATGGATAGTGTAAGTTTATCCCCTTTGTCCTTGAACAAGTATTGAAACTGATAATTTTGAAGGATGCTGTTGTGGCTGAACGAAATGGTGTTCTCGAGTTCCGAACTGCCACGAACGATGGAAGCCCAGAGAACTTTGTCCTTCTCACAAAATTTCAACAAGTAGTCCGGAAGGGACTATTGGAAATGCAAGCAGCGTATATCGCGAAAACAGTTCTTGACGCAAACCACAAAACTCTGGTTATGATACAGAAATCACAAAAGACAATCAATGGAAAATCGAAAGGGGGCATTGGACAAGCTTTTCAACAATTGGAGACCGTCATTGGTGGGGTTTGTTACCGTGTTATTGAAAACCGCGGATTTGTTGAGATGATTTACGTCGTGGTTAGTGCGAACAAGCAAGGGGGAGGGTATGGAGCACACATGATGAATCATTTCAAAGACGAGATCAAATACTCTTATAAGGAAACAGTGATGGAAATTCTCGGATATGCTGACCTTACTGCCGTCGGTTTCTTTCAGAGGCAAGGCTTTACAAAAGATATTGAGCTGGAAGAACGCAAATGGGTTGGCGTCATAAAGGACTATCTCGCATCAGATCTTATGCAATGTACCTTGCTCCCAAGAATGAGCTATGTCGAAGCAGCTCGAATGATTCGTAAGCAGAAGGAATTTTTGCTCGCCACGATGGCTGCCAATAACAAAAGCAAGGTTCAACATCACCCTCCCGCGCAATGGGCTCGAGGAATTATTGGCCCAATCGACCCTTACTCTGTGCCCGGCATTCGACACTCTGGCTGGTCACCAGAAATGGATGAACTATCTCGCGAGAAGGAAGCGACGCCCCCCACCGATCCACTCCAGGACTTTCTAAATCATTTGAAGGAGGGGAAGCATGCTTGGCCTTTCCTCCAACCCGTCGATGAGAAGGAAGTCGAAGACTATTATATGGTGATCAAGCATCCGATGGATTTGCAGACCATGCAGCAAAAGCTAGATCAGGGCCTGTACGATACACCAAAAGCTTTCGTGGAAGATGTCAAATTGATCATCAAAAACTGCAGGCAGTACAACAAGCCAAACACAGCCTTTTGCAAGAATGTGGCTAAGCTAGAGAGGGACATGAAGGATTTCATAAGGGGTGTGCCAGAATGGAAAAAATATCTTAATATACTTAGATAAGTTGAATCGAATTCATCTCCTGTTACCGAGCGAATGCTTTTCATAGACTGACAGGAATTGAACAATGTCAGTTGATGGAAGTTCCTTTGATTCACCTAACGTCTCCGAAAGGCGTCAGAGAATCTTCGTCAATAGCGGAACATCAAGTCGAGTCGGCGCTGGTATCGTGAGGGATTGAACATCTCTTTTCTATAGTAAACGCATACAGTAGCAAGTTCTCAGAGCGAATGCATAAATCCAATGGTCTTCCAAAGCAATACAATGATAAGATTGTCATTTGCCTTGTGAGTGAAGAAGCTGGCATCAGATGTCGAGCCCTTGAAATCTGCGTTCCCAGATGTGTTTGGTTTTGTGGCTTCCTTGATACCCTCAGTCTCTGCAAATATAATCTAATTCTTCAACCTTCTCCTTGTTGCCGTGCATATGCTAATATACTCCATTGCATCTCAAGGTTTCATCTCAAGATTCCTACAGGAATCGGGAGGGAAAAGCGTAACCTTCTCTTCAATTGTATTAGTGACTCCAAAAAGATACGTAGATACAAAAACGAATATTTGATTCTCTTACACGTGCTTGCTTCCTTTTCGACAAGATTCCCAGCCTTAATATGTAATGTGTCCTCTTGGGGCTGTAGAAGAATAAGATGCTATGTTGCAAATTTTCTACTTGTGGTGGAACCCAAAAGGGCGGAGGAAGAAAGGAAAGAACATTCTGAGCTGATCATACGTTGTCCCTCCACAGATGAATTTAAGATGAAATTAAGGGCTAGGTAGGTACCTACCTATGGAGCAATCAGCTGCAAGCCACCTTTGGCAGCCACCACCCCTCGCTGCTTTAACCATATGACGACGCGTCAAATGCCCACTTGTTGAACTGGCCCGGGGTAAAGAATCACATACGAATACTAGGTAATAATTTTATTGTGCTCTGAATATATCCAAAATATTCCTAATGACTTCTTATTTATGACCCAGGAGATTGCGCCGATTATTATTTAGAATTCCCTTTCCAAGCTCGCCACAACTCCAAGTCCAGCTTTAGTTACAAGCTTGATACCGCTACTCTGTAAAGGAACATACAACTACTCAATCCTCACTGCTTACCTACAATCGTTCACGAGGTCTGGGATGGTGGCACCACATCGGCATCCTCATCAGCCCTGTCGTCGTGATCCTTTGGTCTATTCCAAGTGCGAATATGACCTAGTCCATTATTAGCTCAGTGATACTGCAAAGCTCGACCATCCAAAGATAAGCGTGTGAAGAATAGACATACCAATCTTATCACTGGTAATAATATGCTCCTCTGTAAATGCCAAAGAACACAGTGGATCATCAGCAACAATTTTTGTGCACACGGCGGGTAAAATAGAAATCTTTGCTCTTGGTTCTACAGGATGATCTACTGTGGTCTCTGATCGCCCCTCAGCATAGGAAAGATTCGAGTTTGAGCGAAATCGGCCGGCAGTCGCTGTTGTGCCCTGAGTTTCAACCCTTGAGAGGGAGCTTGGCATTCGGGAAGATATACTACCTCTTTGACGAACGGAAGCCTAATTTTTGCGTCAGTTAACATGTGCCATATGAGCCACTAAGAGTATGAAAGATTGAGGGCCTACGGCTTTAGGACGATGCAACATTCCAACACTGAAATCCCATAGCAAGAGTTTGCCATCTTCGCCCACACTACCAAATCGATAATTTCGGTCGTCGCAACGCCATGGATCAAATGCTACATCAGTTACCCAGGATGTGTGACCAGTGCAGCGAGCTATGATAGCAGAATCCGCCATTGACCATATAGAGACGAGATCATCCTGGCCACCAGAAAGAACATACTTGCCATCAGGTGACCAGCAAACACAAGTCAAGCCACCAAAATAGCTGTTGTAAATATCGAGTAATCTAAGCGGATTAGTATTAAAAGTGCGATGAAATGGGATTTTCTTACTGCTCTTTCAAATAGTCAATAATTCTCAAAGTTCCATTCTCAGAAACGACGGCCAAATGCCTGTTGTCAGGCGAAAAAGAGAAACTATTGATGGGCTGGTTGGAAAGTTTCCAGAATGAAACAGGATTGAATTTTTGATTTTTTGAATGCACCGATTTGTCGATCTGAAGTTTGGCTTTTGGCATGGAAATTGGGTCCAGATTTTCTTCGCTTGGTACACTGCCATTGCCATTGGCTCCGGCCTCTTCTGGTACGAAAGCTGCATCATCTTTCTCTTTGTCGTAAGCTATCAAAGACCCGTCCATATGAGATGCTAGAAATAGATTCTCGGAACCAGGAATCCACCTGATTTGTGTGACGGGCGTTGAATTTATAACACACTGATGTTGTTAGAATTTCGAATAGACTTCCTGGGAAAATGTTGCTTACATTCTTATTCAATCGTGAATATTTCTGGGTGAAAGGCTCAAACCAAATTATTTCGCCAGTGGAAAACCCCATTATGATATCTATATGATTTGGACTTTTGGTGACCTGATTGACATCATGGCAGAGACAATGGGCTTTAGTGAACAAAATTTTAAGTAATTGATCTTGCTGTGGTAGTCATGAGCATTTAATAGTCCAGTATATCGAATGGTCGCGACAGAACTTACCTTGTTTGGAGAAGACAAATCCAGCCATTGAAAAGCTCTATTTATGTTGGCGAATCCAAAGTACCCATCGATTGGGCGATCTTGTAGCCTCTTGACCAAGTTTTCATTGACAGTACATCGTGAAATAAAGGAAGAATTACTCTTCAAAATGCCACTCTTTGGTTTGCGACGTTTTCCAGTATCTTTAGTCGTTAACGATAACAATGAGTTCCCCTCCCCAAACGCTGGGGCGGACCCTATGGATGTCGCAGCTCTTGCACTGCCATTGACCGAGGTTCCTCCACCATCACTACTTCCAGGTACCTCCGAAGAATTGCGATTCTCATATGGGTGTTCTTGTATACTGGATTGAGCCAATCCCGTCCGCGAACTTTTATTGGTATCGAGCCTGTACAAAGGAGACGCGTAAGGTTTCGTGCTAAACGATAGGAGAGAAAGTTTGGTTCCTGCGGTCGCAGCTTGCGGAGTTGTAGATAATGGATTTGGGTTCATGACTGGTATGTCGGATGGATGATGAGGAGGTGTCGCAAGATGCAGGTCATCCTGCAGCAGGTATGTTCCTATAAAGATGATCTCAGCATTGAGTGCTTAGGCTCCTGCAATTGGAACCTCACCTTCACCAGCAAGCAATTGGAGCCCTTCAGGATGCTTGAGCAGATTATTCGTCTCTACCATTGGCATAGCCATTCCATTTTGGACCGCGAGATTATACGCTGCCTGCGATGGATACCGCGGCGGTGGTGGTAACACACTATATTCATCGTCAGCTATGCGACACAATGCGACACCCATCGGTAATTTTGGCACGAGTTCATTTGCTGTACTCTGGATAAATTCGAATGCGACACTCACAACATGACGGCTATAGTATTTCGCGAGCGAAAATCAATGGGCTAGAATCAAACTAATCTAAGGCTAAAGACTTTGATGACGAAGTTGTAAGTCGAATGGGAAAGGAAGGTGTCAAGAGCTGAATTTCCTCACGAACACCAACTTATATCGTATGTTTGAAGCTATTATTGGGGGCTGCAGGAACGAAAGTGTGGGGTAAGATGCTTGTATTGTAACCCTGAAGATCTGCTTAATGAAGGGAACGTAAATGTGTGAATGATTGTACAAAAAGATTGGATGATTGTGTAGATAAAACGGGTAGATGGTCGTCAAGGAAAGTCCAATTCAATCCGTCGGAAAGGTGGTAGAGATGGAAGGGTGTGTGAGAGAGATTAGAAAGGCATTCCAAGCTTTATCTAAAGAGAACTTTATCCATTATCCTATGCCTATTATTACCTATTCATCAAGCATGGCACGGAGCATGTCAACGTCGCCATGAAACTAAATGTTAAACGTGGAGAAAGTATTCATCTCCTAGGACAGAAGTAGTGCTGATAATCCGAAAAACAGCCTCTCGGATCTGATTGTCCGGTACCTTAGTATGGTGGTACTCGAGTAGTCTCTGAACAATCAATCACATACGCTCGTATAAATGTACGCATAAATCCGACATCAATCAACACTTATTGACCCACGAGTGCTATTCCACCATCAAAGAAAATACAATAAGCTCAAGTGCTGCATCTACACCTGCTAGTGCTTGCCAACTTGAGCATAGACCCGACGGCGTGAAACAAGAATGAAAGTGTAACAGCCTCGTCATACAAGGCTACATATAAATATGGCTACAGGTTAGCTATTATACCTTTCTCTAGAAGCTTTCTACATTCTTCGATCTATACTGACTGATATGGATACACTAGTACGAATATGTGTCTGCGGGGACGATGGGACTGGAAAATCGAGTCTCATCACATCACTGGTCAAAGATGTATTTGTTACGAACAAGATCCAATCAGTTCTTCCTCAAATCACCATTCCTCCAAGCATTGGAACTCCCGAGAATGTTACCACAACGATTGTCGATACCTCCGCAGAACCACAAGAACGCAATACATTACGGAAAGAAATAAGAAAATCAAATGTTATTCTCTTGGTATACTCGGATCATTACAGCTATGAGAGAGTGGCTCTATTTTGGATGCCATACTTTCGCTCGTTGGGCGTGAATGTGCCTGTAGTACTATGCGCCAATAAATCGGACTCGACTACAAATGGAAACACAGCGCAAGTGGTAGAGGATGAGATGCTACCAGTCATGGCAGAGTTTAAGGAGATAGATTCATGCATACGGACGAGTGCTAGGGAACATCACAATGTCAATGAAGTGTTCTTCCTTTGTCAAAAAGCTGTTACACATCCAATTGCACCACTTTTTGACTCCAAGGAAGGCATTTTGAAACCTGCGTGTGTTGCAGCTCTAAATAGGATATTTTACTTGAACGACAAAGATCAGGATGGTTATTTGAATGATCAAGAAATGCAAGACTTTCAAGCCAAGTGTTTTGAAAAAACATTGGCTCCAACCGATCTCGAAAATATAAAGATCTCAATCAGTAGAGCTTCTCCAAATTCTAACATGGAAAAGGGAATTGATCAAAAGGGGTTCATTCATCTCAACAAGATATTCGCGGAGAAGGGTAGACATGAGACCATATGGATAATTTTACGGAAGTATCATTACACAGATAGTTTAAGCTTGAAAGATAGTTTCCTTCATCCTAAACTAGATATTCCAGAATTTGCTTCTGCAGAACTCAGCCCCGCTGGCTATCGATTTTTCGTCGATCTCTTCCTGTTATTCGATAAAGATAACGATGGTGGTTTGAACGACAACGAGTTGAATGCCTTATTCGCACCTACTCCTGGCCTTCCATCACATTGGCTCGAATCGAATTTCCCGGCCTCTACAGTCCGCAATGAAGCTGGTCACATAACCCTTCAAGGTTGGCTCGCACAATGGTCCATGACTACATTTGTCAGCCCCGCCACTACTCTCTCGTACATAGCCTACCTTGGGTTTGAGCCCACTCCTGGGAAACCTTCTACAACCACCGCTCTGAAGATAACCAAACCTCGCAAAAGACGTCGTCGACCTGTTCGTACCGAGCGCAACGTAGTTCTTTGCTATGTTCTCGGTGCCTCCTCGTCAGGTAAATCTTCAATTCTCGACGCCTTCCTCAATCGTCCCTTTGATCACCTCTATCGCCCCACCATCAAGCCCCGTGTCGCCGTCAACAGTGTCGAACTACCCGGTGGTAAGCAATGTTATCTAATTCTCGAAGAACTTGGCGAACTCGAACCGGCCATCCTCGAAAACCAAGCTAAACTCGACGCCTGCGATCTCCTCTGCTACGCCTATGATTCCTCCGATCCAGACTCTTTCTCCCACATCATCAACCTCCATAAAAAATATCCCGCTCTCTCATCTCTCCCCTCAATCTGCACAGCCCTCAAAGCAGACCTTGATAAAACAACTCAGAGATGCGAAAAACAACCAGATGAATATGCGCACCTCATGAATATGAACGCACCAGTACATGTAAGTGTCACGTGGCATAGTATCAGCGAGCTCTTCGTTACCTTAGCAGAAGCGGCAACGGACCCATCGAAAGCGTTTCCGAAGAGTGAGGAGGAAGCACCGGATAGAACAGGAGTGTGGATTGCTCTTGGAGCTACAGCTTGCGCGCTCGTGGCAGCGGGTATGATTTGGAGGAGGACGTGGTATGTTGGCTAGAGAGATGGGGAACGGGATGGTGGGGACCTTGAAGGCTCAGATGTGAAAACAACCTCTTGTCTGGGTTGTACCTTTCAAGGGAGAATCCTTGGAAGGACAAAAATAATAGATACGATATATGGCAGAGAAAACGTGTTACAGTTAGTTATATGCAGCAAGCTCGCGAGAATAAATGATACCCAATTCAATCCAGTTTGACTGAGTCGAAGTCGTGAAAAATTGAGGGGCTGGGTAGGGGTCACCAAGATTTTATTTTATTCTAAATCGTCTACCTGTCCTTTGCTGCGCCGGTCACCCTCTCCAACGTTGAAAGGAGAGGAAGCTGCCTCCCGTTCGCACCACCATAGTAGAAATTTCGAAACACCAAGTCAAGTATTCACACCAATCACCCTCATATTCCCATTCATAATTCATTCTATGTCATTGTATGATTATTTTCATCTTACAAAAATGTATTATGCATGCATGCATGCAAGTTCATCTCTGGTATCTCTCTGCCCTTCTGCTTTTCACCACCATCTTCGCCCACTTTAGCCGGTACTTTTGAACTCTTAAGCTCTCTCGCTCCCCCTCAATCTAACCGCCTGTCCATATTTCTGCAATTTAGTGATAAGTTGATCACCTTGCTTAACAACATCATTGTATTGCTTATTCTTATCGTCGGGTCTGTTGGTTTCGATAATACCTTTGCCAGTGACGCGGTCAATGGTACATGGGATACGGTCCGCAGCGATGAATTTTGCCAAATCACTATCGTAGGGTTGTGATGTCAGTTGATGTTCATTTATAAAGTCAAGTGAGACTGGCAAGGGAAAGTGAAGGGGGCGAGAATGTGATCAGAGTAGGATTGAAAACATACCGATCAAGGAAATCGACTGAAACACCGAAATCATTGGCCATGCTCTCGAGACCTACAACTCGGTAACTTTGAAGGAGTTGTTGGTAGGCTCTCAAACGCATTTCTCTGACGAACCAACCACGGTGCTCATAGAGGTAACGGTCTTGAGTAAGGAAGTTGACTTCGACAGCAGCGAGGGCTCCAAAGAATGAACGGTAGCTACCAGTGTAAAGACTTGAAACGAGTTGAGCCAGAGGGGAGAAATCGAGTGCTGCCTCTGCTTCTTGGACATCTGTGCCTGTGCCGAGGGTGGTGAGGTTGACTGCGGTTTTAGTAGCGGTAGGAGTTGCCGATGTAATATCTTGCATCTCTTCATCAGCACCAGGACCAGCGGAGATGGCGCCTGATAATGCTAAAAGTTTATCTTCTCCATCTCCGAGAATTGCTTTGATTTCTGGGGCATCGACGACTTTAGATTTGAAGTCAACACGTTTGAGTGAGACTGAGCCGGCGAGAACGGAGTATACGACGAGGGATGAGTATGAGCAGAGTTCGTAACTGGTGAAGGTGGAGAGACTGTCTAAGAGGAGTGGTGCGGCAAGGTTGTATGACCTGACAGTCAAAAGGTAGAGTCCGGTATATGCCTTTAATCTGTTTCGACGATCCCAGTCTCCACCACTTTCTACTAAAGCCTTTGCGCGGTCAACGTGCTTCTTGACTAATAACTTGTCGCCGTAGAATAATCCCATGCGGATGATTGCGAGGACGAGATCAATCTTAGTTCCCAAAACACCAGTCTTTTCGAATACTTCTTCGTACGCAGCAATAGCACGGTCCTATAAAATCTTTGCATTAATACCAATACGCACCCTCACAACAGATTTACATACCTTGTCTCCAACTCTAGCCCAAAATTCTGCCCGCTTTCCTCTTGCAGCCTGTACTTCAGTATCTCCAGCTTTTTCGGCTGCTTCTTCCTCCTCCTTCTTGAACCCCTCCAGCTCCTCTTCATTTTCCTTTGTTAATTTTTGATACAAAGCTTCATCCCACGGTAAATCGACCTTTGGTATTGAGTTTTTGCTCGCCACCAATCCAGCCGCACTTGGCTTTCTACCAACACTGCTCGTTGTATTTGAAGAAGTAACTCCGGCATCATTCAGAATACCTTCCTGTGGGTGTGCCAAGTATCTGTAAAGAGGTGCCATCTTATGTTCGGCAATTGCATCTTGGAGGCTTTTCAAAGATGTTTGTTGGGTTGCTTTGGCAGCAGATGGGTTTGTAATGGTGAAGATGTGTTGGGCGATTGGAAGGAGAGGATACTTTGCGTATTGAGGATCGGAACCCATCTTGACGGATTTATTATGATATGAGATGAAGAACGAGTACAAAGGGGGGGATCGATTTTGTGATTTGGATACGTTTTGGAAGAAGTAAAAGGTTTAGTTGTTGCTATGCGATTTGTATACTACCTATGAAGCTCTGAGCTACTTTTGGTATTCCAGGCACTAGTGTGACGCGAGGCCGGCAAGGCTAAATTCTGGCCGCCGTCATTTTTGGGTCTTACCTTTGCTTTAAGCTTACCTACAATCCAATCTTTGTTCTCGACCTTTCTTTCTTCAATAAAATACAAATTTCGAACACAAGAGTACAACAATTTGAAATCATTACTTTTAGTTTCATTTGAAATATCTTTCAAACAATCTATCAAAACTTAACTTTTCTTAAAGTTGCTATTCAAGATGACTGGTGACGATAGTGGCCCTGAGGAACAACCTCAGCCTTTCAATGCTACAAAACTCGAAGCCGCAAAGAAACGCAAAAGATCAAGTTCACCTACGAAAGGCGCAAAGCGTGTCGCAAGGTCACCATCACCTTCTGATGTCTACAAGAGTCGTAGGTCACCATCACCTGTTCGAAAACAAAAGCGCCCTGGTCAACGAGCACGAATTGGTGATTCCGAGCGCGAAGCAATCCGACAAAAACAAATTGAACGTGAAAGAGAAATAGAGGCAGCCGTAGCTGCTCAAGGAATTCACAATGCGGTTAGAGAACATTATAATGCGGTTCCACAGCGAGGTAGAGAATGGCGTAAGACGGATAGCAAGATCAAGGGCTTGAGAAGCTTTAACAATTGGGTCAAGAGTACGATCATCCAGAAATTCTCACCAAATGAAGATTATACCCCAGGAGCGCAAGAACGTGGATCGCGTGGAGACTACCAATTTGCTGAAGGACCAGATCCAAGTCAAGAAAAGGGTCTGTTGGTTCTTGACATTGGTTGTGGTAAAGGTGGTGATTTAGGAAAATGGCAACAAGCACCTCAAAAAGTGGAATTATATGTTGGATTGGACCCAGCGGATATCTCAATTGATCAAGCCAAGGAACGATATCGTGAAATGAAAAGTCGTGGTGGAGGACGAGGTGGCAGAGGTCGAGGTGGATACAATAGACAGCCAGCTCGAATTTTCCACGGAGAATTCTTCGCTCAAGATTGCTTCGGAGAATCAATTGAACGAATTCCTATCATTCGAGATGTCGGTTTTGATAGTTCCGGAGGACCGGGAAGATTTGGCGGTGGTGGGTTCGACGTGGTTAGCATGATGTTTTGCTTACATTACGCATTCGAGAGCGAGGCAAAGGCTAGAACCATGTTAAAGAATGTCTCGGGCGCATTAAAGAAAGGTGGTAGGCTAATCGGATGCATCCCTAACTCCCACGTCATATCGGATAAAATTGAGAAGTTTCACACTGGAGTTGCTGCAAAGGCAAAAGCGCTAGAGAATGGCGATGGTGAGAAGGCTGAGGAGAAGGTTGAAGACAACGCTGAGGATGGAGAAATCGAAGAGGGCGAAGCTGAAGATACAGCTCATTGGGGAAATGAGGTTTACCAGGTCCGATTTCCAGGCAAGACACCTACCGATGGTGTCTTTAAACCACCCTTTGGATGGAAGTACAATTTCTTTCTTCACGAGGCAGTCGAGGAAGTTCCGGAATATGTTGTACCATGGGAGGCATTCCGTGCGATTGCGGAAGATTACAACCTCGAATTGCAGTATCAAAAGCCATTCCATCAAATCTGGGACACCGAAAAGGACGATGACGTCTTAGGTCCTCTGAGTGAGCGTATGAATGTCAGGGAAAGAGGCCATGGAAAGCTTCTTGTCAGTGACGAAGAAATGGAAGCTGCTAGCTTTTATGTGGGCTTTTGCTTCTACAAGGTTTAAGCTCCTGTAACTCGAAGGTTTCAGGTCTTGCGTTAGATAATACAGATGCGTCCGCGTGGAGTCGGTTGAACACCCCTTGGATCGACAGCATTGGGGTTTTGGAGTATCATTGGGATTTCTCGGGGACTTGTTTCATTCATTTAGTTGTGCTCATGTGCATGGGATTTGGAATGGAAAACACGTTCGAATATGGGACTGGGTCGACAGGAGATATCATGCAATGGTTTGCCAAAGATAGACACATATTCAATGAATTTTTACGAGTTTCCTTCTCCAAAATATCTGGGGCTGTATCCATGTACCATGCTGGAAATGTAGAAAATATAAAGCCGCCCAACATTTCAACATCTTGACTACTGATATGCATGACAGTAGCAGATATTTCGAGACAACTTCTTCCACATTGTGTGATGGTACAGAACGTAATCGGCCTAAGCTGACACTTTGGACGTTGATGCTTATTCTGAAAGGGGTTTTTATTCGATAAACAGGAAGACGTGCATAATCTACCTGTATGGTTATCTACGTGAGATGCAGATTTATATCTTGTATTTCGACTTTTCGACATCTAAAATCGAGACATAAAGCTAGACCGACAGCTAGAAGTGCTTTTAATACTTCGTACTTAACCTTATCACAACATCTATTAGATATCCTCAACAAGTAGTAGATGTGGAGCACGGGTAGATCAATTATCATTCATTATCATTCATACTTATCAAAGCTCTTATCAGGGTCTTTTTTTGAAACTCGACCTAACTTTTTCAACCCCGTGTTTTCTTCAACACTTGTCGGCATTGCATTCGCTCAAGTTCTCAAAGTCGTTCACTCTTACCAACCTCTACTTACCCCTTCATTACTGCTCGCTTCTTTCCGATCGGGTGATAATATATCAATCTTTACTACCAGCTAAAGAAAGCCACGCCGTTTTAACATATCACCACTACATCGTCTTCTATATCTGGACGTTTGGCCTATTGCTGACTTCGATTATCTCGCCCCCATTCATTGTTACTTGGGAAGTTTCAGATCCCCAATTGGCTACCTACACTTACCTCAAATATCTTATACGAATAAGAATAATACCTACGCTACACTACACTACACTACACAACATAACACAACACAACACAATGGCTTCTATCAACTCGTCATTGAGTACTGGTGCGAGAAGATGTATCGGCAGTAGACAATATATATCTACAAGCGTATCTCAACGACAATATGGGACGAATGCATCTCGATTGTCAAGATCCATTGCTGCTGCAGGTACGTTGATTGTATATTTTCCGTTGCGTATTCTTCGTCGTTGAAATACATTTCTTTTTGAGTCGGAGAAAAAAAAGTCTCAGAACAGGGATGATTCCGAAAATCGGCTTTTGATATTGGAGCTCTGACTTACCCTTACCCTTACCCTTACCCTTACCCTTACCCGGACGGCGTCATCCCCATCGTCCCTTCTTCCGGGATGATGTGGAATGACTTTATCCAACCACACAGAAACTGTGGGGGCAATTATCGTCCGTACCCCATTCTCCCCTCTACCTGTATATTATCTGGAGGAAGCGGAGAAGAGGAAGAGGAAGAGGAAGAGGAAGAGGAAGAGGAAGAGCAAGGGGAAGGGGATGAATAGATACCGTCCGACTATTATCATTGATCATGCGATGACTTTGATTCAACATGCTACGCCTCATTACACAAAACTTTATCTTTCCCTGTTCTTTTCTTTCTACATACTAACTTTCTTTCTTCATGATCTGTTGTTTTCCTTTTTAAGATTAATTAATTGCCTCAAAAGAGCTTGTACAAGTGAATGTACATAAATTAAACCAGTTCTCTAATCATCATCTACCTCATAATAGATTCTCTTCAATCCCGCTCACTACTACAATCCCGAACTCGAACTATGTCCACCACTGCCACTCTCCGCAGTTTGAACGTCAACAACATCAACCCACACGTCAAGGAAGCCAAGTATGCTGTCCGTGGAGCCCTCGCTGTTAAATCAGAAGAATACAGAGCCAAGCTCGCAAAGGGCGATAAGGATCTCCCATTCGATACAGTCATAAGTGCCAATATTGGAAATCCGCAACAATTGGATCAACAACCTATTACTTTCTTCAGACAAGTCTTGAGTTTACTTGAGTACCCACCGCTATTGGAGAAGGAAGATGTATTGTTGAATGGGTTGGGCTACAAGAAGGATGTTATAGAGAGAGCAAGGTGGTTGTTGAAGGAAGTTGGAAGCGTAGGTGCTTATAGTGCGAGTGCTGGTGTGACGGCAATCAAAGACAGTGTGGCTAGATTTATTGAGAGTATGTTCTTTATTGTTTTGTGGTATTTGTATGGGTGGCACGGCTAACCTCTGTCCAGACCGAGATGGATTCCCCGCAGATCCAAAGGATATCTATCTTTCCGCCGGTGCCTCCGCTGGAGTTAACACCCTCCTCCACATTATTTGTGCCGGTCCAAACACAGGTGTTCTAGTACCTATCCCACAATATCCTTTATATACCGCCTCCCTCTCCGTTCTCAATGCAAAATGCGTCCCCTATTACCTCGACGAAGCTCGCAACTGGGGTACAGACCTCCAGGCCATAAAGGATGCATACGCTGCTGCTGTCAAAGAAGGAATCGATGTCCGCGCCATCGTTATCATCAACCCCGGTAACCCAACTGGTGCAAGTCTCCCACCCCAAGATATCGAAGCAGTCATCAAATTCGCCGCCGAGAAAAAATTGGTTGTGATGGCAGATGAAGTATACCAGACCAACGTTTTCATAGGAAAATTCCATTCTTTCAAGCAAATTCTCCGCGATCTCCAATCCAAAACTCCAGAGAAATACGATAATGTCGAACTGGCTTCTCTGCATAGCATCTCCAAAGGCATGGTTGGCGAATGCGGACATCGAGGTGGATATTTCGAACTGTGTGGTTTCGATCCAGATGTCGTAGAACAGATATACAAATTCGTCAGCATCAGTTTATGCGCACCGGTCATCGGACAGTGTCTTGTCGAACTCATGGTAAACCCCCCAAAGCAAGGCGACCCATCCTACGAACTGTACAAACAAGAATATGATGGCATCTTTTCTGGACTCCAGAAGCGCGCAACGGCTCTCTATGAAGCATTCAAGCAAATGGAAGGTGTAGAGTGTCAAGAACCTCAAGGAAGTATGTATTTGTTCCCAACAATCCATGTTCCAGAAAAGGCCGTAGAGGCTGCGAAGAAAGAGGGTATGGGTCCAGATGAATATTATTGCCATAAATTACTTGAGGCCACGGGTGTTTGCGTAGTACCTGGAAGTGGTTTTGGTCAACGCGAAAACACGCTGCATTTCAGAACGACGTTTTTGGCGCCAGGTACAGAATGGGTTGCTAGAATTACAAAGTTTCACGAAGAATTTATGGAAGAGTTCAGATAGAGGGTTATCGCTAAAGTGAAGTGTGTAGAGCATGAGAGGAGGTGGAGAGTACGGAGTATGTAATGCAATTGCAAATATAGGGAAAGAGAGAACTTACTCCACTAAATCAATTGATGAATATTTAGCTGTGGAAGAGGTTTCCTTTTGAACAGAGCCTGAGATTATTGGGGGCAAAATATCGTCAAAGGGAAAAGGAAAGGAGAAGAGGATGAGAATGAGAATGACAGGGAAAAGGAGAGAAGAAATGAAATTATGAAATTAGATATCTGTTGCAAATAGAGATATAAAGATATAAAACATACAATATACAATAGCGTGCATCACATAGCGTAGCTTCTAAACCCATTACATCTGATCGAATCTTGATCGAATAAATCTCTTGTAACTACTTGCCTACATACCTAATCAATAAAATCTACAATACTAGGTACATGTTCCATTCATACATTCATCATGCATCTATCATCCGTCTCTCTCTACAAATTCATTTATTCTCTATCTATTCCTATCCCCCCCCCCCCCCCCGCTCCCCAAGACCCGTTTGCTCTAGATGAGATACCTACCTACCTACTAGGTATCTAACTACTTTCCGATCCACTCAACCACCTTCTACTCATTTCTACTGCTATAATTATAACTATAATTACAGTTGTGATTTTACCTCATACCGTACACGCATTATATTGTATCGTGATGTATTGCATACAATTGAATCACTCACTATCTGATCATAGATAAAAGGTACCTAGGGAGAGGAATCCATATCTTCTATTCTATTCTATTCACTTTCTAATCCCGCATCATCGCTTCACTTCTAGGTGTGTATGTACAATCGATCCACCATCTACACATCCACCAACATTAATCATTCATCCTGCTCAAGTATCTTATTTTCAGAAGAAGAAGAAAAAACTCCTCATCCAATCTAAGCTTTATTATCCAAGCCCTTAACACCCTCTAACAGACCATCTGCCCAAGCGGGCGTTGCGACTCCTGAGCCTTTGGCATTTTTTGTCAATCCATTTCGAATCTTGAGGACGCTATCTACAATTACTGCGTCGATGCCTTCGTTTACTTGTTCCTGTTTGTTTCATTAGTACATATACTCAAATGGTAAGACGAAATTAACACATACCTGAACCTTAACCGGATCATTATTCAACACCCCATAACTAACACAAACCAATCCACTATCCTTAACCACCTTAACCAATCTAGGACTATTACACAAAGGTTCCGCCGCACTAACTACACCTAGCAAGTTCCAACGACTAGCAAATCGAATTGCCTCTTGCAAACTACTAGCTCTGATATCTCCCACTGGACTCGTACCCGCATCTGTGAGGAAAAGAATTGGAATACTTGGTTGCTTAAACGACAACAATAGACAAATATCTGGATTGAACGAACTGAAGATGACCTTGCGCTTTTGCTTCATGTCGTAAACTTTTGCAAGAACTGTATCACAGAAACTATTAAGTTCCACAGCATAAGTGTCCATTTCTTGTTCTTCAGTTTCGTGAAGCATAGGATATTTCATCTCGACGTTGAATCCGACATTTTGAGGAAGTTCTC